GGCTAAAGGCAGCATTGCCCTGCTGGTCACCTGCCCTGTCAATCCTGGGGAATCCTGTAGCTCCTCTCAAGAAGCCCATGTGCCCTTCCCCATTTCTTGGGGATGAAAGTGTGGCTTGGACCAGCGCTGTTCAGGTTCATCGAGCAGAAACACCCCTGGCCATCCTGGGGAATCCTGTAGCTCCTTTCGAGAAGCCCATGTGCCCTTCCCCATCTCTTGGGGGATCAGCACTGTTCAGGTTCATCGAGCAGAAACAGTTTCTAGGGGAGGGTAAAATCGGGTTCCTGGATCCTGGGAAGCGTCGCCAGTAGGGTTTGGCAGGATGAGGCAGCTGTGGTCCCACTGGGAGAAGACACAACCCGTCTGCCCATGCAGGGCTTCCCTTAGCCCAAGATGAGCCGGGGTGGGGTGGACCTGGCAGGAAGCCTTTTCCTTCCAAAATCTGCCAGTGTAATTCTGTGAGCCTGAGCTCAAGGACATGGATGACACCATCCAAGGGCTGTGCAATGGGCTCTAGTCTCCATGCCCAACTCTGACCTCTACTGTGGGGACACCAAGCCCCTTCCTCAGTCTCCAGGGCTGGACACCTCCATCAGACAAATGCCCAGGCTGAAAGTACAGTCTCACATAAGATCTCTTCAAAAGAAAGGTTTTTATTGAGATGCTGGCTTGGACAAGAAGCACTTGGGGCTGTAGAGGTCTCAGGGCACAGGGATATGGTCCCCATCCCCGAGCTGCTGGTTTCCAGGAGAGATTCCCAGGCAGCACCACAGAGCCTCGTGAGCCCCATGATTAGAACAAGCCCATGATGGTGGGCCCAGCCCTTGCTCCCTGTTTTCATGACAGATAAGGGCAGAGCTGGGGGTGCAGCACCTTGACTGTGAAGGACCATGAGCTTTGGAGTGTTGCAAGAACTGGAGGCGATGGCCGATTTTTCCTCCATACTCTACATTGGCCCCCTCCTTCAGTAAAACACCTTTTCCAGGTAGGCATTCAGGAAGATCCCCGTGGGATCCAGCTTCTCCCGGATGGAGCAGAATTTGGGAAATGCTGGGTACATCTTCTCAAAGTCCTTCCGGGTGCAGCTGTGGGCCTGCAGGGTGGAAAGTGTCCATGTGAGCTGCCCATCACTGGGGAACACATCTCTAGACCCAGACTCCCACCACCACATGCTGTGGGAAGCCCCTGCAGAAGCACTGGGACCTCCATCTCCTTTATCTACATGCCCAGGGTGGGTAGCAAACAGGGGAACATCACCTCCTCAAGGCATCCATCTCCCTCCGAGACCATCCCTACTGCAAACTGCCCCCCTCCAGGAGGAGTCGCGATGGAGAAAGGGAAGGGACCACCTTCCCCAGACCCTTTTCTCCCAGAGACGTGGGCCTGTCAGTACCTTTGCCCAGTGTGGTCTCCCACCATGCTTCTTCATGATGCCCTCGTAGGTCAGCCAGTAGTTGAGACGGGGAACGTTCTTCCCGTAGGGCCTGTGGGTGGGTTGGGCAGGGAGGGCATTAGCAGAGGCTGGGGAGGGATTTGCACACCTGGGAAATCTCCCTAAGAAACCCCCACCTGGGGAGAAGAACAACCCCAGGGACCTGCCATGGGCTCTTTGACCAGCATCGGGGTGATGGAAACCCTGTGGAACCCAGCACACCACCAGCACTTGGTCAGTGGACCTTCATGTAGGAACGTGTCCTCAAGAAACAGAGCTGGGTGGCTTTAAGGTGCTCCAAGGCCACCTCATCCCTTCTGGCTTGGTGCCTGAAATGTCTGAGTGGGAGGTCAGTATGTCCGAGCTTTGCATTTGCTGCTGCTGGGTACACCAGGACGTTGGCCTAGGGAGGAAGAGGAGGAGGAGGAGAGGAGATGGGGTCGTGGCTCACCTGTACATGATGATGTTCATGTAGCAGCTGTCTCGCTGGAAGCAGGGACTCAGCCAGATCTCATCCCCCCGCGTGAAGCGCACCTCCACGGGGTAGTGAGCCACCATCTTGGGGTTGTTCTCCAAGGCAGCCTTCAGCTCCAGCAGAGCTTCCTTCGTCTTCTCACTGCCCAGGAGAAGCCCCCAGCCCCAGTTAATGCCAGCTCTCCTTCGATTTGAAGCCTCATCCCCACAGCCCCATCCCTGACTAATCCAGGAAATGGCTTGGCATCTTCCAGCACATCCCTCCCATTGCTTTGAGCTCACAAAGCCCCAAACCACAGTGTGGCATGGATTTGGTACCCCAGGACAGGGATGCAGAAGGGTCCCCATGCTAAGCCAGCAGGTAGAAACGAGGCCCCCTACCCAGGTCCTCTTCTCCAGAGCTTTGCTCCTGCTCCAGGCAACCTGGGCTGGGGCAGAGCACAGTTCAGGGAGAGAATCATAGGATCATTATGGTTGGAAAAGACCTTCAAAATCATCAAGTCCAACTGTTATCTAACTCTAAAGATGAAGATGCCGTTTACATGGGGATGGCCCAGTCTTGAACGTGCTGCTTGAAGCGACACTCGTAGTTGAAGATCTTGTAGCTGGTGGCAATGTTCTCCACCCGGGAGCTGAAGAGGAGCCAGAAGAAGAAGCGGTTGATCCAGCGCACCAAGCCAGGCACGAAGGTGCTGCAGAAGAAAGAGCAGGAGGTGACATCTGCCCCCAGAGCTGCTGCACAAAGATTTGCCAAAGGCAGGCTGTGAGCCGTGAGGCCACCAGTCCGAGGATGCTGGGTAAGGGGATGACCTCTCAAGGGGCTGTAAGCAAAGTGTCAATCCTCCAGGGGTGCTGGAGCCCATGGGGACCTGCCAGGAGATCACCTGTACTCACTCCACCTGATCTTGGACCTCACATCCTTGCCCTTCTCTCCTCCCGGAGACCTCAGTGCCTCCCAGGCTGTGCACTGGGCATTCTCGCACTGGGGGACCGAGAGTTACTGGGCATGAGATGAATGCCTTGGTAGAGTCCTAAGAGGCCAGTATTCCTCTTCATGGAGGCCAGCCCAGCTCTCCTGTGCCACCAGGCTCACGCTTTCCAACCCAGCCTGAACAACCTGGCGGGATTTCCTCTCTCCACCCCGGTGCTCAGGATTTGCTCACAGCCAACACCATCCTCCAAAAAGCATCTTGGCTGCTCCATCTCTGTGCACACAAGAGGGCAGTGCAGCCTCAGACATCCATCCGAGCTCAAACCTGCTCCTCCTCCGCAGGGAGCTTACTTAGAGGAGAATAAGCATCTCCTCCTTTGTCAGGGACGGGTGCTCCAGGTCACGCAGTCCTCCCTTGACACATTCCCTGGGACCCCCAGCAAATCAGTTCAAGTTTCAAATGCAGAGATGCCAAGAATCAATCTGGATGAGGCCAGCTCTGGACAAACCAACACAACCCCGCTCACTCCCAGCCAATGCCTACCTGATCCAGAGCAGAAACTCCAGCAAATAATAGCCAACGGCATAATCCCACAACCAGCTGGCAGAGGAAGAGGGGGGCTGCAAAGCCAAGCAGAGGAAGAGGATGGTCATTAGGGACTAGAGGGTTTGCAGTTTTCTTCCATGAAGGTAAGAGCACATGCCTGGACCGGGACCACCTTAGGAGTTGGATTTGGAGAAAGACATGCCAGGACTCCACAGATTTCTTTCCCGTGATGAAACAGGCACGGATCCAGTCCCAGGAAGAGACCAGGCTTTGTCATGAGGATGCTGAGGGCTTGGACAGCCCCAGTTGTGTCGCTGCCCTGGGACTCCCCGACCATGAAACTCAGCCCCAAAATGCCATTTTCCTGATTATCCTCCCAGTAGCCCTTGCATTGCAAGCCCACCCTAAAACTGGCTCTGGAAAGACACCCAGGTTTGTGCACGGGCCCTTCTCCCTCCCCTCATGGAGCTCGGTGGGACCTGCCTTGTTGGTGGGGTCCTGGTAGATGATGCTGACATTCTCGCTGTGTGGGAACCAGAGGAATCTGAAGTACTGGGATCTCTTCAGGTGGTCATCAAGGTGATCGAGGACCTGCAGGAATCACAGAAATGGGAGCTGGTTGGTGACTGTGACCCCACTGTGGAACAGGGATCCTTGGGAGCAGGGAGGCACCTCATAGGACTCTCAGAAATGCTGGGAAAAGTCCAAGGAGTCTATCTACAGAGGCTTGACAAGCCTTAGGTTGGAAGGGGGGTCAATATCAGCCCAGTCAAGCACTAAGGGGCTAATACAGACCATGGATCCAACATCTTTCCATCGAAGGGAAGAGGACATGACCAAATAGCCTCTTGCCTCGACTGTGACAGAGCCCCCTCGCAACCTGAAGATGCACCTGGAACTTGTCTGAGCTCAGACCTCACATTAGGAAGAAATTCTTCAAAAAAGAGTGGTCAGACCCTGGAACAGACTGCCTAGGGAGGTGGTTGAGTCACCATCCCTGGTTGTGTTCAAGTGTCGCTTAGATGTGGTGTTGGGTGATGTGGTTTAGGGGTGAACTTGTAGTGTAGGGTCAATGGTTGGACTTGATGATCCCAAGGGACTTTCCCAGCCTGAATTGTTCTACGATTCAAAACAAAAATATAAGACTCACATCCTCCCCAAATCACATCTCTGCAGCCTCCAAATTGCTCCATCAATGGTTTCCAGACACAAAGCAGCGCAACCAAGGCTGTCCAGCAATCAGTCATGCAGTGGGACCTGCTGAGGGCTTCCAAAATCCACCTCCTGGTCCAGCACCAGGGATGTCCTCCCCAGCTTTTATACCCTGGCAGCACAGCCCTCTGTGGCTTTGGAGCCCCAGGGCAACAGGGGATGGAGCTGGAATGCGCTACACAGCCCCGTCCTGGAGACATCTCCAACTTCAAATGCAGAATTGCCAAATTATTCATCAAGACACAAAAAAGAGCTTTAAGAAAGGCAGCTCCAGGGATGTGCTGCCTGCCAGCAGCTGAGGACAGTGAAGCACAGTGACTCAGAGCAGGCAGGGGACAGGCAGGACCAGGCAGGTGACTGGGCTCGAGGGGGTGACCACAGCCCCAGAGCACACTCAGCCTGTTCCCAGGGCCACTGGGGTCCTTTCCTGGGGCTACTTGGAGAAAAGCCCCTGCCTGACCCAGTAGAACCCGCAGAAATGAGAAGACCTCTCCCTCTCACAAACAGCTTCTCCATCCACCCCCTAGTCCTCCTGCCGAGATGCCCCACGGCTTTGCAGAAAGGCTTAAAACCCCAGCAGCTTTGCTTTGTGGCGTTTGTTTGACCCAAGAGAAGGTGCAATGACCCATAAGATATAACCCCAGGAAGGTCACGGCAGCCTTAGCTGTGAAGCTGCTCCTTTCCGGCTGGATCATTGGAGTTATTCGTCTTAATGAGGTGTTAATCACCAGGCTGGGCTGTTTTAGCACCGAGCAACTTGCTGTGACCCCATCAGAAGGCGAGGGTCTTTGGGGGGGCCACTGTGCCCTAATGCCGTGGTCCCGTTCAAGCGGGGAGGATGCAAAGACCAATTGTGCTTTCCCATAATTGGTGAGAATCAACGTTAACGCTGTTGTCTTCGTCTTCACATCTACAGCCCCTGAAGAGCCCCCAAATCTCTCTAAGGTGTCCCCAAACCAGCCTATCACCCAGCCGGAGGAGTTCTCCTGTCGGAAACAGTTCACGACTCTGCAAGCAGAGCAAAAAGCTACGACCCCACGTTCCCATCGGTTCGCTTTAGGAGCAAATGCGCCGAGCGACTGAAACACGGCGGGGGTGGAAAAGGAGGACGCAGCTTTCCCAAGGTGATCCTGCCAACGTCTGTTTGTCTTCCAGCCACGGCATTTCGAGCGCAGAAGCAAATCGCCGGCGGGGGTGACCTTTTCAATGTGCGCTTTTGATTCTGGCGATATCGGCCCCAAGAAGAAAATAAGCCCACGACTTTGTAGGATAATTGCAGCACAGCGGGCGAGAGCTGAAGGCGGGGAGGGAGCGTCGGGAGTCCTTGGGGACGTTTTGCCTGCTGGCGGAGCGCCGGAGGCGGAGGCAGAGGTCGGGCGGTGGAAATTTCGCCGTTGTAATGTGGCCAACGCACGCAACCAAAATTACCCCCGAGAGAAATTACCCTGCAGAGACCTGGGACATTTTGCTCATTGTTTCTTGCCTCCTAGGAGCCCAGAACTTGGTTTCAGGGTCAAAAGAAGCTGCTTTTCTTTCTTGCAACCACCCTGGTTTTACTGAGGTTCGGGCACCCCATCCAGGTCTGGATGCTCCCAGTTGTCCTGGGGGAAAGAATAAGGATGGGGGCAAAGGGTGGATGTGGTTGAGGTGCTGTGGAGAAGGAAGCACAAGAAGACACCAGCACTCGTCAGGTGCAAGGGAGCATGGGAAGCTCACATTTTGGGAGAGGAGATGGATGATCAGTCTTCCCCTTTTCCTGGGTCCTGCCTGGGTCCTACCGTGTCGTGGGACTGTTGAGTCACACACTGAGACCAAACCCAAGATTTCTGGCTAAGAGGGACGAGGTCAGGCCCAGCAATGGAGGGAGAGGCTAGGCACTGGGTGGGCTTGGGGAAACTGGGCTTGACGGATCCATTCCTCAAAACCAAACCAAAAGGTTAGAGTTAGGGTTAGGTTTGAGTTTGGATTCAGGTTATGGTAAGGAAGAGGCAGGCTCAGGCCAAAAGAAGAGCTTCCTCACCCACCAGCTTTCTAAACCGTGCAAGTCTGAGGGTGCCTAAAAGTTTACATGGGCTCGGAAGCAGATCGGAGACTTTCCTGGAAGAGAAACTTATCGTCTCGTTACAGATATACAAACGAGCTCCAGCTCAGGAAGCCTCAAAGCTGCGAAAGATCGAGGGAAGAACTATGGTGTCTAAATCAGACCCATCCTCATCAGCCTCCCAGCAGGTCTAGAGCAAGGTGAGGCTGACTTCATCCCTGCCACCACCCAGGGATGCTCTGGTGACCTCAGCTGTCCCGTGCCTTGGTCCTGGTCATTGTCAGCAGTGAGAGCAGCTGAGTTTATCCCAGTGATAAAATTAATCACGAGGCCACAGAAGAAAGCATGCAGATCTTACATAACCACAAATCCAAGCCCAGCTCCTCTGACACATCTATTATTTGCAATGTCTTAGATAACTCAGGCTTAAATATTTCAAGCAACCTGCTCCCTTGCCATTATTCTCTTCCGCCTCGCTGGGCCACTCGACATGAAAGCCGAAGATCTGGAAGCAGGCGAGGAACGGCGATGACTGCGAATTGATAATGGCATTAATATTTATAGAGTGCATTCCCATTTCACCCTCCTAACAGCCCCGAGGGACGGAGAAAGATGGGCTGAGCTGTTGCAGGGGGCATCGCCCGGGCAGATGATGCTTGTGGAGGGTAAAGCTCAGCCTGGGCTACCTGTCCTGCTCAGCAGAGCAACGTTATTCTGCATTTGAGCTTAAGTTTCCTAGCTAAAGGGCAGATTAGGAGGTGTAAAACGACACTAAACATGGCAATTTGGCTGAGTGAAGGTACTAGAGGATGCGGTGAAGGTCTCAGCAGCCTGACAGGGCGGGTGAGGGCCAAGCTGTGAGGAGCTGGCAGCCTCCCACCACATTTAAACAGATTTAAATGCATTTAAAGCAGGCAGCTCCCTGCTGAAGGACACCAGGGAAGCAAATAGGCAAAAAAAATATTTGGGAGCCATTAAACACAAAACTCATCACCTCTGCAGCTGGAAACACCAGCAGCGAACTCACTGCAGGCTGCAGGGAGGACACCCTGGAGAAATATCTGGGCGGGTTTCCCTTATTTCTCTGCTTTCCCTGCCACCTCCCAGGAAAATTAAGATCCTGACATGCTCCAGGTCTTGCCTGCTCTGGTCCCTCTGGGTAGGAGAATGAATGGGAATCAACCTGGGTAACGTGTGTGGACCTCCGTGTCCACCTCCATGGCCAGCCCAGGTGCTGGTAGCTCAGCTCAAGGACTCCTGGGCTGCTTTGGATCAAGGATTATGAAGAAAATACTGCCAAAGTGCATGGAATTCATGTCTGTGGTGGCGTTCAAGCCACCCCAACGGGACACTGAATAATTCAGGCCTTAAAAAATTAAGGATGGCGTGTCTCAGAGCTTTGCTAATGCCCCGGCTCTGATCAATCCCGCAACAAATCGCGCCGCTTTTGCCCAAGGACTATTTATTTTTCATGAGCCCAGCTTAACGAAGGTTCACGCTGCTGTTAGCCAGGGCTGGAACTGGACCTGGGAGACCCAAACGAGGCAATGGATGAGGATGCCGCAGAGGATGCACCAGCAGGGATGTCAGACCTCGCAGGAGGACAAAGACGGTCAGTGGCTGTAGCCAATCCAAGCTCCTGGAGAGGTTTCTTCCCATCACCACTGGTTTCTCCCTCCTGCCTCGGTTTCCCCATCCAGAAAACTGACTCCTTCCAATGAACACAGCGAGTGCACCCAGCGTTTAGAAGGCCACCAGGTCTTTCCACCTGCAGGTGGCCCCTTCTCCGTAGGCTTTAGCCTGGGCAATGCTGCAGCCTCCAGCGATGATCCAATGCCAGAGATGTAGGACAAGCTGGATGATTGCTCAGCTCAAGGCAGTAGGTCACATCCCAAGCCGTGGAGGGGCTGGGCTGATGCTGGAACATCTCGCTCCATCTGATTTCCCAGCCCTGTGAGGGTGGGAGGGCTCTGAGGAAATGCTTCCAGCAGTTAAAAGAAGTTTATATAATGGCAGAGATAAGGAAAGTTGGTTTTGATGTGTTCCCAGGAGACAGAATTCCTTCCAGTCGCTCTGTAGAAATGCCCACTGGGCCTTCTGAAGGCTTTCTGAGGGAATCAGCTCACACCCACCACTGGCCACAGAGCCACATGGAGACCCAAGCTGGTAAAGCCCAGGAGATGCACTGCCCCCAAAAAAGGGCATTTCACGCCTCTTTCAAGGGAAATCAGCCTCTCCCAGCCTGGGTCCTGCTGGGCATGGAAAGCTCAGCTGAAAGAAACCACTCTCCATCCCTGAGCATCTCCGTACCAGCATCCCGGGACACTGTCCCCAGTGCCTCAGCCACGTACTGAACGAGAACCTGAACTTCTCATGCTCTCCATGGCCAATCTTCCATGGGCTATGCTCAAGACTCTCTTCAGGGGGGACATGGTCATGAAGAGGGGATGGATGGTGGGACAGCAGAACTTGCCAAGGAGAAGACAGGATGTGAGACCTTCAGAGCTTGATCTACGAGAGAGTAGGTCAGAAACCCTCCTCCGAAAGCCATCTCCTCCCTTGGGGGTGGCCCCGATGGGCCAATCACTGGCGCTGTACACCTTAGTCTCTGGGTGGTTGGGACCTCTGGATACAGGCAAGGCAAGGAGCAACATTAACAACCTGTTTAAAGGGAGTTTATCTCAGGACCCAAATGTTGCTCCGGGGTTGGATCTTGATAAGGGATTTGTTCAGCCTGGCCTTCATCACTCTTCTCATCCCCAGCACCGTTCGTCCTCAGTTCAGCTCATAAAGAAGAGTTAAACCCACCTTCCCAGTGGGAGATGGAAAACCGCATCCCCCAAAACACCCTGACCTCACACAGAAAAAGGGAGTGAGATGCCCACGGGCTATTTTTGAGGTGGTCCTTCCCTCGCTGGGAAAAGCACGGCTCTCCGTCAGCCAAGCAGCAGGAGACGACGAGATGGGAGACGGCACCTCCTGG